TTGGACACAAAAATGGGGACATTCAACAGAGCCTAAAGAAATAAAAATGATCATTAAAAGATGCTATACACAATTGTATGTTGATAAATTTGATAACTTAGATGAAATGGACAAAATCTGAGAAACACACAAACTTCCAGTGCTAACGGAAGAAGAAATTGAAGACGTCAACAGACCCATAACAAGTGATCAAAGAAGTAATCAAAAACCTTCTAAAAAAGAATAGTCCAGGACTGGACAACTTCATTAAAGAATTTTACCAAACATTTACAGAAGAAGTGACACCAATCCTTAAACTTATCCAAAAATTAGAAGAGGAAGGAATTATCCCTAATCCATTCTATGACAGTAGCATCACCCCAATAGCATAAGAAGACAAGGACAACACAAAAAATAAAACTACAGGCCAATATCCATGATGAATATAGACACAAAAATTCTCAAGAAAATATTAGCAAACTGAATACAGAGATATATTAAAAGGATTATACATCATGACCATATAACAGACAAGGGTCTAAGACCCAGAATATATAAAGTACTCCTACAACTTAACAAGAAACAGACAACCAACTCAATTTAAAAAGGACCTGAATAGACATTTCACCAGAGGATATCCAAATGGCCAACAAATACATGAAAAGAGTCTCAGTGTCCAGAGAGATGAAAATCCAACTGGCAATGAAATACCACTTCACTCCCACTACGATGGCTAAGATTTTTAAAAAAAGGAAAATAACAAAGGTAGGTGAGGATGTGGGTAAATTGGAACCTTTATCCATTGGTGGTGGTAATGCAGAATGGTACAACCATCGTGGAAATTGTGGTGGTTCCTCAAGTCAATCACAAAGGACAAATACTGTATGATCTCACTTAAATAAAATGACCAGAATAGGCAAATATAAAGAGACCAAAGTTTATTAGTGGATACCAGGGGCAGGAGTGAGAGGGGAGGGGGAGAAGGTGAGCCATTGTTTGGGAAGCAGTTAGTTTGTTTATGGAAATTTGGTATCGATTAAGGGTAATGGTTGCACCAGCGACTCATATAATTGATATCATTAAGCAGTATACTTTAAAAATGAATTAGCAAATGCTGTGTTTTTTATATATATATATATATACACAGAAATAGAAACCCTGCTGGTTTAGTGGTTAAGAGCTATGGCTGTAAACCAAAAGGTTGGCAGCTCGAATCCACCAGATGCTCTTTAGAAACCCTATGGGGTAGTTCTACTCTGTTCTGTAGGGTCCTTGTGAGTCGAAATTGACTAAATGGCAACAGGTTTGGTTTATATATATATGTATATATTTACAAACCAAAAAAGAAAAAAAAACTGCTGCTTATGCTGCTTCTGTACAACCACTTTGCAGAATTTGTTTTTTGGTTTGGAATTTCTCATGGTTTCATGTGACATAACAGTCAATTGGCCTAATATTGTTTTTCAGTGCTTCTGTTCTACCTCCTAGATCACTGTGCAAAGCCTGGGGTCTTCAAAAGTACAACAATTGGTCTTCATATTCCTGGGGCAACAGAAGAAGCAAGAGAGACAGGAATCAGAGGAGGAAATGGAATGCATGTCTGGTTGCTTCCATGAACAACTACTTTCTTTGCCATGAGACCAGTGGAACTGGATGGTGCCTGGCCACCATTACTGAACGTTTTGATCAAAGATTCTATAGAAGAATCTTTGATCAAAAGGGGTGAAATGCAGAACAGAATCCAAAATTCTCTACTGTTGTTGTTAGGTGTAATTGAGTCAGTTCTGACTTATAGCGACACTATGTACAACAAAACGAAATACTACCTGGTCCTGTGCCATCCTCTGAATTGTTATGCTCGAGCCCATTATTGCAGCGACTCTGTCAATCTATCTTCTTGAGTGTCTTCCTCTTTTTTGCTGACCCTCTACTTTACCAAGCATGATGTCCCTCTCCAGGGTCTGGTCCCTCCTGATAACATGTCCAAAGTATGTGAGACCGAGTCACACCATTCTTGCTTCTAAGGAGCATTCTGGCTGTACTTCTTCCAGGACAGATTTGTGGGTTCTTCTGGAAGCTCACGGTATATTCAAAACGTTACGTCAACACCGTAATTCAAAGGCATCAATTCTTCTTCAGTCTTCCTTATTCATTGTCCAGCTTTCACATCCATATGAGACAACTGAAAACACTGTGGCTTGGATCAGGAGCACGTTAGTCCTTAAAGTGACATCTTTGCTTTTTAAAGCTTTAAACAGGTCTTTTGCAGCAGATTTGCCCAATGTAATACATTTGATTTCTTGACTGCTGTTTCCATGGGCATTAATTGTGGATCCAAGTAAAATGAAAACTTTGACAACTTCAATCTTTTCTCCGCTTGTCATGAAGTTACTTATTGGTCCAGTTGTGAGGATTTTTTTTTTTTTTTATGTTAAGGTGTAGTCCATACTGAAGGCTGTGGTCTTTGATCTTCATTGGTAAGTGCTTCAAGTCCTCTTCAGTTTCAGCAAGCAAGGTTGTGTCATCTGCGTAACGTAGGTTGTTAATGAGTCTTCCTCCAATCCTGATGCTGCATTCTTCTTCATATAGTCAACCTTCTCAGATTATTTGCTCAGCATACAGATTGAACAAGTATGGTGAAAGGATACAACCCTGATGCACAACTTTCTTGACTTTAAACCACACAGTATTCCTTTGTTCTGTTCAAATGACTGCCTCTTGTTCTAAGTACAGTTTCTTCATGAGCACAATTAAGTTGTTCTAGAATTGCCATTCTTTGCAATGTTGTCCACAGTTTTTAATGATCCATACAGTCAAATGCCTTTGCAGAGTTAATAAAACACAGGTAAACATGTTTCTGGTGTTCTCTGCTTTCAGTCAGGAACCATCTGACATCAGCAGTGATATCTTTTCGTTCCACATCCTCTTCTGAATCCAGCTTGAATTTCTGGCAGTTCCTTGTTGATGTACTGCTGCAACTGCTTTTGAATGATCTTTAGCAAAATTTTACTTTTATGTGATATTAATGATACTGTTCAATAATTTCCACATTCTGTTGGATCACATTTCTTTCCATTGGGCATCAATATGGATCTCTTCAAGTCAGTTGGCCAGTAGCTGTCTTCCAAATTCCTTGGCATAGATGAGTGAGCACCTCCAGTGCTGCATCCGTTTGTTGAAACATCTGTATTGGTATTCCATCAATTCCTGGAGCCTTGTTTTTTGCCAGTGCCCTCAGTGCAGTTTGGACTTCTTTCAGTACCATCAGTTCTTGATTGTATGTTACCTCTTGAAATGGTTGAATGTTGACTGATTCTTTTTGGTACAGTGACTCGGTGTTTTGTTTCCAACTTCTTTTCTCGCTTCCTGCGTCTTTTATTATTTTCCCATAGAATCCTTCAAGCTTGCAACTCGAGGCTTGAATTTTTTTCTTCATTTCTTTCAACTTGAGACTTCTCAATCGAATCCATAATTTCTGGAGTCATTGAGGCTGGATGAATCCTGAAACTATTGCCCTGAGATTATTTTTAAATGCTAAACCAAAACTACCCCCAGAAGTCTTTGACCCAAACAATAGTTTGACTTAATTAGTAAAATTATGTCTGCTTGAGTAGAATTATCTAAGTAGGATCAAATTGACGCCACCAACTCAAAAGGTTAGATGAGAATATTAGGGGTCTGTGAGTTTATGTTAATGGTGGTGGAATAATTTGGTAAAGGTTAGTGAGAATGGTTGCACAACTTAAGTAACCAATGTCACTGAATTGCACATGCAGAAATTGTTGAAATGGTGTATCCTTTGCTGTGTATATTTTCACCAAAATAAATAAATAAAGCTACCTTTACGATTTTAACATATTATGGTAATGCGCTTTCTCATTTGCTATTCTTTTCAACCTCCCTCCCTTCCCCATTCCCAATTCATGATTTCTTCAAGATAGGGCCTGTTTCTTTCTTCTCTATAATTTCCAGTGTCTAGAATAGTACTTGGCCCATAGTTGTACTTAAATATTTATTAGTTTCCAAAACCCAGAATTATTTACCATCTTTTACTTTCCTCTGTAGTCTGAAATCTTCCAAAACTAGAAAATACCAAGTGGAGAAATAGGATTTTATTTTCTGAAATTAGTGATGTCCTTTTAAAGACTTTGCCACAGGTGATATTCTTTAAACTTTTATAGGATTTCTTTTGTAGTCATTTAAAAAAAAAAAAAGCTTTAGCTTTGAAGTCATTGCCTAAACAAACTATTTTTTCCTACTTAAATTACTTTAGATGACTGTTGAAAGTTTAGCAAGTGTGGTTTTATAATCAACATGACTTTGGAGCAATAAAGAAAAATAATTCTGAGAAAAATTAGGAATTACATAGAAAATCTGGGAGGTATTATGCATAATTTGGCAATGACAGAAGAATAAAGGAAAAAGAGAATATATATTTTCTTTAACAAAAATAATGCAGAAAGCTTGACAATAGGTTAGGAAAAGGCAAATTCCAAAGACTGAAGAGTAGTTTACAGTTTGCTTTTATGTGTTATTTGGTCCTTTGCTCTAAAAATGTATATATATATTTAAGGTCAATTCTTTTGTTAGGTATTAAAATGTTAGTTGCAATAAATATGCTACTAGCTTATACAGTTGGTGCTTTTCTGGTGAAAAATGCATCATTCTTGCACCCAGATTTTTATCATGAACACATATGACATCTAGTGTATAATGTTGGAAAGAGACAGAGATAGAGACAGACAGAGAGAGAGAGAGAGAGAATATGAATATCTCCACCTTTTATCATAAAAATGCCCAGAGACAACGTCTCTAATAGTGAATCACTGGTCTCAGGATATTCAGGAATGTGACTGACAGATAAAAAAATTTCCTCACATTTGTTACAAGGTTGTCCTTGGAATTTAATATCTAATGAGGACTAAATTAGAAATATCTAAAATCGAAAATTTTCTCATATTTGTTACATTTATCCATTATTGTCAAGTACGTATTCTCTGATGAGCTTTTGTTTAAGGCTTTCACACGTGCGAATTTACACTCAAGGAGTTCTCTTCAATATGAATTTTATAATGATTAATAAGGGATGACCACTGGCTGAACAGTTTCCCACATGCATTACATTCACAGGGTTTTTCACCAGTATGAATTCTTTGATGTGCAATAAGGGATGAGCTTTGTCTGAAAGTTTTCCCACATGTATTACACTTAAAGGGTTTTTCTCCTGTATGAATTCTCTGATGTTTAATAAGAGCTGCATTTTGCCCAAAAGATATTCCATATTCCTCACATTGATAGGGTTTCTCTCCAGTATAAATTCTCTGATGATTACTAACAGATGAGGTACACCTGAATGTTTTCTCACACTCATTACATTTATAGGATCTTTCTCCAGAATGCATGCTCTGATGCTGAACGAGAGCTGAAATTTGTCTGAAGGCTTTTCCACACACTTTACATTTATGTGGTTTCTCTCCAGTGTGAATTCTGTGATGAATAATGAGTGTTGAGAGGGAACTTATTCCTTTACCACATTCATTACAATTATACAATTTCTCACCACTATGAATTATTTGATGTCTATTAAGTCATGAAACAGAAGTGAAACATTTTCCACATTCATTACATCTATAAGGTTTTTCTCCAGTGTGAATTCTTTCATGTTGAATAGGAGATGCACTCTGACTGAAGACTCTCTCACATTCCCTATGTTAAAAATTTCTGTCCAGTGTGAATTCTCTGGTGATAACAAAGAGATGAGCTAGACTTAAAGGTATTGCCATGTTCATTACATAAATAGAAACTTTTTCTTAGATTAATTCTCTGGCATCCAGTAAGGGATACCTTCCTACCTGGATTATATTTATAGGGATTTTCTCGAGGAAGAATTTTCTGATGTATAAAAAGACCTGACCTTCGACTAAAGGATTCACCACATTCTCTGCATCTATAGGATTTCTCAACTGTATGGGTTCTTAGATGCTTACAAAGTGTTGCACTATGGCTGAAGGTTTTCTCACATTCTTTACATATATAGGGCTTCTCTCCAGTATGCGTTCTTTGATGTTGAATAAGAGCAGAACTTTGGATAAAGGCTTTCAAACATTCTTTACATTTAAGTAATTTCTCTCCAGTATGGTTTTTCTCATGTTTACGAAGGGATGAATTGTGAATAAACGCTTTCTCACATATATTACATTTATAGCGTTTTTCTGCTGTGAGTTCTCGTTGGTTATGTAAATTTGAATTCTGCTTGAAGCTATTTCTTTGTGTTTCACATTTTTTCTCTAGCAATCCTCTATTGCCTAATGAGAACTGATTTCAGACTGAAGTTTTGTCCAAATTCAGTATTTTTTGCTACTTTCTACAGTGAAGATTTTCTTATACGTGACTAAAACTATTTGGAAACTTTAATTTTTGTTCTTGTATTTCTTTACTCTGTCTTCATATATGCAGGATTTTTCTGATTTGAAGTACCGGGGTTCATCCCTTTTGAGTTTTTTCCTCACCAGCCCTTGAAATGATGAGTGTTGAGTTTGAGTTGATTTTGTGATTTTAGAACTGCTTTTCTATCCTGAAAAATACAAAAAGAAGAAAAAGAAATCACAAATGGTTTATGCGATTGGCTGAGAATAAATGTGTAAAAAAGATAAATATTAATGATATTTAAATAAGGGCTTGCTATCTGTCTAGAAGATAATACCAAGAGGAAAAATTAAGAAAGTGAAGTTGAATTAAAAAATAATGAATGAGGACTAAAGTATTAGGTAGACAGAAGAATGAAGCAAGCTCATTTAAGGAAGGTGAGAGTATAAAGGTGACTAGGAAAATGGAGAATGTAAAGAAGGGATTAGGAGCATGAAGTGGGAAAAACAGTTAGGTATGCAAAGTCCATGATAGACTCCTAAAGTACAGTTATGGATTAAATTGTGTCCTCCAAAATATGTGTTGTAAATCCTAACCTCTATGCCTGTGGTTATAATCCCATTTGGGAATGAATTTTCTGTTATGTTAATAAGGCAGGGTTAGGGTGTGTCTCAAGTCAATCTCTTACAAGAGATAAAAGGAGCAGATTAGGCAAGCAGAAATGGAAGGAGAGAGATGTCAAGACACATGGAGATCTCCAAGGAACCAGGAAGCAGAAGGTGAAAAGACAAGGACCTTTCCTGAGATCTGACAGAGAGGAGACGTCTTCTCCTAGAGCAGACAATCTGAAATTGGACTTCTAGCCTCCTAAACTGTGAGAAAATAAATTTGTTTGTTAAAGCCATCCACTTGTGGTATTTTTGTTATAGCAGCACTAGATAACTAAGACAGGTACCTCCATGATATTTTTCTCATTTCTGTAATTATTTCTAATTTGGAATGTCTACTCCCTTTTTCCTACATACTAAACTCCTCTGTAGCATTCATTTTAATTCATATGTTAAGTCTCCTGTGCACCCTTTCCTGGCTCTAAGCTCCAACAGTCCATTTCTTTATTATAGAACTTACTATAGTGCCCTAGTGGCACAGTGGTTAAGTGTTTGGTTGCCAACCAAAAGGTCAGCAGTTCAAATCCACAAGCCACTCCTTGGAAATCCTATGGGGCAGTTTTACTCTGTTCTATAGGGTCGCCATGAGTGGGAATTGACTTAACGGCAATGAGTTTGGTTTTTTGGTTTTACAGAGTACAATTATGTATACCTAAGAGGTATATTATGGTGTCTTCTAAAGATGCTGAAAAATGCTTTAACAATATTCAGTACCATTCATGATAAAAACGCTAAAGAAAATGGCAATTGAGGGGTATTTATGCAACATGATAAAATATATGCACCTTAGTCTTAAAGCTACTATCTTTTTTTACTGAAGAAATACTAGAGACATTTCCACTATGATCAGGAACAAGGAAAGGATACCCATTCTTTTTGCTACTATTCAACACTGTACCAGGGTTATTAACCAATGCATTTAGACAAGAGAAATCAATTAGAAGCATACAATAAGAAGTAAAATTATCTCATTATGTAGATAATATTTTACTATATCTAAAACCCCCCAGAGAAGCAATGATAAAACTAATTAAGTGAGGCATTATGATATAAAATTAATACACTAGACTTCTGGGCAATATGGTACTCCAGGCAGAAGCACCACGCCTTCCCTCCACAGCAAAGACACGAAAAATTAAGCCAAACAGAGACAACAGCCATCCGGAAACCCTAAGCATCAAATGAAGAGATAAAGAACTCAGCCAAACACCAAATGGAGTGATAAAGTGAAAGAAAATGGAGACCAAGGAGGGATTCATGCAGAGGTCCCCTATCAGCTCACACAGTGTGGATCTGCCATCTGGGACTCCTATCAGAGACCAGTGAACAGGGGATATGAGAAAGAAGCTTCACAGAGCTTCCAGCAGGAGACAGAACAACCAGTAAACAGCGATATATGCTTTCCCATCCCCAACCCTTCTTCACCCCCACTCAGCCTCCTGTGCTTCCTGCAGCCACATTGTCTTGGTGAGGAAGCACTGGCTGCTTGGATTCCACCAATCTGCACTGGCCAACTCCTTGGTGCCATTTGTTGGCTGCTGATGTTGATTTTCCCTGCTTCTTTTTGATTTCTTCCTTACCTCTCACCACCTTCCCCTCCTTTCTCTCAAATACCTGGCTCTGTGCACCATCTTTGCTTCTTCCTGAAAGGCTGTGAAACTCTGCTGGACTGTGAAACTGCTTTTTGGCCCATGCTGCCACAATGGTGGGATCCCAGGGCTTTTTGTTTGTTTTGAATTGTTTGTTTTCTTTTTATTTTCTCCAATTGGGAGCCTGTTTTAGCCAGGAAGTACTGCACAGTTTGGGACCTACCCTCTCAGTTTGCGCAGACTCGCAGAGGGATCCCTGAAAGCATTTCCTTTTTCATGTTTTTTTTCCTATTTTTTGAGGGTTTTTCTTGTTCTTTTTTTAAAATTCATTTCGTTTTCTTTTCCCTCTTTTTGTCTTTCTTCATTACTCAGTTTCTCATCTCTCTATACCTTCCTTCTCTTCCTATACTGTGAATACCTGGAACTGAGTGACACTTCTACGCCCTCTAGCTAGGCTGTACTTCAACGCCTAGGAGCAACCTCCCCAGACCTCACAGCAACACCGGTGGGATCCCTGGGAGCTTTTCTTTTCTTTTTTCTTTCTAATTTTCATTTATTTGTTCTTTTCTTTTCTTTTTTTGTCTTCTTATCCTTTTTGTTTTTCTCCATTTCATAGTCTCTCATCTCTCCACTCCAACGGCAAGCTCCCCTAGCATTCTTTTTTGTTTGTTTGTATGTTTTTGGCTCCTGTTCCTCTCTCCCTCTCACCCATATCCATCTTAGCTAGACACATCACAATCTCCCTCCTCCATCCTGCCTACCTGCATCATGTGCTTAACATCACACTACCAAGCAGCACAGGCATGGCCTACTGGAACCTGCCCTGCACTGATTACCGGCCAACCCTGGTGGCTGTAGTAAGTGCCACAAACAACCCATCCCAGCAACTCCTCTTCAGCTAGATCTCCCCTGCTGTACCATATCTGAGCGACTGACCCTGCCAATTGGAGAAGGTGGCAAAAAGTATTGTGCTCACAGATGAGCAAGCAACAAAGAACACACAGCCAGCCTGCTTTTATTTATAGCCAAATAAAACAAAAAAGGATGAAACAAACAAATCTATAATCAATATATGAGAAAAATAACTACTGAATGCCCCAAAGACAGCAGACAATATCAAAACACTTACAAAAACAGGACAGTATGGTTTCAGTAGGCATCCAAAATAAAACACCAGGTGACTTTCCAGTAGAAGAAAAGGCACTAGAACTACCTAATAGGGAATTCAAATCTCTAATACTCAGAATTATCCAAGATTTGAAACAAAAAGCAGACAAAAATGAGGAAAAAATAGACAAATACATGGAAAATACCAACAAAAAATGGAAAAATTCACGAAAACAATACAGGAACAAAATGCTAAAATAAATTCACAACTAGAAATCATACAAAAAGAACAGTTAGAAATTCAAAAGATAAACAACAAGATCTCAGAAATGGACAGTGTCATAGAAGGGATGAGGAGCAGATTTGAAACGGTGGAAGACAGGATCAGTGAAATTGAAGACAAAGACTTGTATACAACTCTGAGGAAAACTCAGAACAAAGAATGAAGAAAAATAAAGAGATCCTGAGAATTTTGTGGTATACAATCAAAAGCAAAAATTT